ACACACACACACACACACACACTATACACACACACTATACACACACACACACACACACACATATACACACACACTATACACACACACACTACACACACACACAACACACACAGACACACACACACACACACTACACACACACACACTATACACACACACTACACACACACACACACATACACACACACACACTATACACACACACTACACACACACACACACACACACACACACACACACACACTACACACACACTATACACACACACTATACACACACACACTACACACACACTACACACACACACACACACACAGCACACACTATACACACACACACACACACAGACGCACACACACACGAACACACACTATACACACACACACACACACACACACACACACACATGAACACACACAAACGCACACACACACAGAAACACACTATACACACACACTACACACACAGAACACACACACACACACACTATACACACACACTATACACACACACACACACACACTATACACACACACAGAAACACACACACACACACACACACATGAACACACACACACACAGACACACACAGACACACACTATACACACACACAGACGCACACACAGACGCACACACACACTATACACACACACTATACACACACACAGACGCACACACACACTATACACACACACTATACACACACACAGACGCACACACACACTATACACACACACACACACACAAACGCACACACACACAGAAACACACTACACACACACTTTACACACACACACACTTTACACACACACACACACACACACACTTTACACACACACACTTTACACACACTCCAGACTCTCAGACCCGTGCTCCACAGGGGGGGACAGGGCAGCAGGCCGTGCCCAGGGAAGAAGCCTTTTTTCTGGGTACGAGTCGCCACAGCAGCCCCCTCTCCTCCTGGAAGTCTGAAGGGAGTTTACAGCAGACTGTGCCCAGGATGAGTGCTCTGCCCCTGGGCACGAGACGCAGACAGGTCCCCTCTGTCCTGGTCCAGTCCTGGTTTAGTCCTGGTTCAGTCCTGGTTTAGTCCGGTTATAGTCCTGGTTTAGTCCGGTTATAGTCCTGGTTTAGTCCTGGTTTAGTCTGGTTATAGTCCTGGTTTAGTCTGGTTATAGTCCTGGTTTAGTCTGGTTATAGTCCTGGTTTAGTCCTGGTTTAGTCCTGGTTTAGACCTGGTTTAGACCTGGTTTAGTCCTGGTTTAGTCCGGTTATAGTCCTGGTTTAGTCCTGGTTTAGTCTGGTTATAGTCCTGGTTTAGTCCTGGTTTAGACCCTCTCTCTTTCTCTGTCGTTCCAGATGAACAGATGAACACGGAGGAGAAGAAGAAGAGGAAGCAGCGTCGGAATCGTACGACGTTTAACTCGAGTCAGCTGCAGGCGTTGGAGCGAGTGTTCGAGCGCACGCACTACCCCGACGCCTTCGTACGAGAAGACCTCGCCCGCCGCGTCAACCTGACCGAGGCCCGCGTCCAGGTGAGACCGAGACCCAGACCCAGACCAAGACCTGACCCAGACCAAGACCCAGACCAAGACCTGAACCAGACCAAGACCCAGACCAAGACCTGACCCACATCTGACCCAAACTCAAACCAAGACCTCGCCCGCCGCGTCAACCTGACCGAGGCCCGCGTCCAGGTGAGACCAAGACTGAGACTGAGACCTGAGACCAGGACCTGACCCACACCAGACCCAGACCTCACTGAGACCAGGGTTCAGGAGAGTCTGGATTATGCATGTCTCCAAACTATGGCCCGGGGGCCAAATGTGGCCCTCAGCCCAACAGTTGTTGGCCCTCAGACTTTTGTACCTCAGACGTAAAAGTCGTGGACTTGAGCTTCAAATGAAGCTCACTGAGGCAGCGCTGATAGGAACAACTGGAGCCAGAGTCGAGATTATGAAGAGTCCTTCCCTGTGGTCCTGAGGTCCTGAGGTCCTGTGGTCCTGTGGTCCTGAGGTCCTGTGGTCCTGTGGTCCTGAGGTCCTGTGGTCCTGAGGTCCTGAGGTCCTGTGGTCCTGAGGTCCTGAGGTCCTGAGGTCCTGTGGTCCTGTGGTCCTGAGGTCCTGTGGTCCTGAGGTCCTGTGGTCAGCTTCACCTGTGTTCAGATCTGTGTAATGAGACCTGGTCTGGAGGTTTATGGATTATCGGCCTCAAATTTCCAGCACAGACCGATATAGAGACCGATATAGAGACCGATATAGAGACCGATATAGAGACCGATATCAATACCAGCGTGAAGAACCACAGTGACTCTGCTGAAAGTTTGTGTGAGTTTGTTGTAAATGAAAAATACAGAAAATAAACCCAAAAATACGACAGCGGCGGCGGCTGTATTGGTATTGGTATCGGTATCGGTATCGGTATCGACTGCCAGAATCCCACAGGTTGATCTCGGAGCCACAGCCTCAGGAGCAGAAGGTCAGAGTCCAGACCCTGAGGAACCTGAGGAACCTGAGGAGCTTTAGCAGCACGAGCTCCGTGACCTCTGACCTTTGGTCGAGGACAAGGCACTGGGATTATAAACCCTGGTTCAGTCCTGGTTTAGTCCCGCTTTAGTCCTGGTGTAGTCCTGGTGTAGTCCTGGTTTAGTCCCGCTGTAGTCCTGGTTCAGTCCTGGTTTAGTCCCGCTGTAGTCCTGGTGTAGTCCTGGTTTAGTCCTGGTGTAGTCCCGGTTTAGTCCCGCTGTAGTCCTGGTGTAGTCCTGGTTTAGTCCTGGTGTAGTCCCGGTTTAGTCCTGCTGTAGTCCCGGTTTAGTCCTGCTTTAGTCCTGCTGTAGTCCTGGTTTAGTCCTGGTCCCTCGGGGGTCTTATCTCTTTAGCTCCTGATTGGTCTCATTACTCGGTTTAGATCGTGTCAGAGCTCGAATCAAAACCAGATGTTTGAGTCCGGACCATTTAACACACAGAACTAAACCAGGACTAAACCAGGACTAAACCAGGACTAAACCAGGACTAAAACCAGGGACTAAACCGGGACTAAACCGGGACTAAACTAGGACTAAACCGGGACTAAACCAGGACTAAACCAGGACTAAACCAGGTCTAAACCAGGACTAAACCAGGACTAAACCAGGACTAAAAAAGAACTAAACCAGGACTAAAAGTGGACTAAATCAGGACTAAGCTAAGATTAAACCAGGACTAAAATGTGACTAAAAAAGACTAAAACTTAACTAAACCAGGACTAAACCAGGACAAAAAAAAAGGACTAAACCAGGACTAAACTAGGACTAAACCAGGACTAAACTAGGATTAAACCAGGACTAAACCAGGACTAAACTAGGACCAAAGCAGGACTAAAGCAGGACTAAACTGCGAATAAACTGGGACTAAACCAGGTCTAAACCAGGTCTAAACCAGGACTAAACCAGGTCTGAACCCCACAAAACCTGCTCCAGGACTCTAGACTGGTCCAGATCTGGGTTTGTGCTGAAAGCTTCACTCAGAGCCACATCTGGTCCCAATGTGCAGCTGATAAAGAACATACCAGAGGGACTACGTCAGAACTAAACCAGGACTACACCAGGACTAGCTCAGGACTAGACCAGGACTGAACCAGAACTGTACCAGGACTTAACCAGGACTAAACCAGGATTTAACCAGGACTAGATCAGGACTAAACTAGAACTGGATCAGGATTAAACCAGGATTAAATGAAGATTAAACCAGAACTAGTTCAGGACTAGACCAGGACTAGACCAGGACTAGACCAGGACTAGACCAGGACTAGACCAGGACTGAACCAGAACTGTACCAGGACTTAACCAGGACTGAACCAGGACTTAACCAGGACTAGATCAGGACTAAACTAGAACTGGATCAGGATTAAACCAGGATTAAATGAAGATTAAACCAGAACTAGTTCAGGACTAGACCAGGACTAGACCAGGACTAGACCAGGACTAGACCAGGACTAGACCAGGACTTCCATGGTGCAGTACCCTCATAGTCCGTGGTTGAACCCTCAGCTCACTCTGTTGTTGTTCCCTTGAGCAGGAGACTCTGCTGTGGTCAGTTCTGCTCTGAGGAACTACAAAGACCATGATGCTTTGCTCCTCGTCACAGGAAACATCGTCTCGTTTTGTTCTGTTCATCGTCGATCAACCTGAGTCCAAATGTTGAATATTTATTTTGTCTCTTATGAATCTCACAAACACAAACACATCAGCACAAAGTATCAAATAGAAAATATCAAATATAAAATATAAAGTATAAAATATAAAGTATAAAAGTATAAAAATAAAGTATAAAGTATAAAAAGTATAAATAAAAGTATAATATAAAATATAAAGTATAAAGTATAAAGTATAAAATATAAAGTATAAAGTATAAGTATAAAATATAAAGTATAAAGTATAAAAAGTATAAAGTATAAAGTATAAAATATAAAGTATAAAGTATAAAGTATAAATATAAAGTATAAGTATAAATATAAAGTAAAGTATAAAATATAAAGTATAAAGTATAAAGTATAAAATATAAAGTATAAAAAATATAAAGTATAAAGTATAAATAAAAGTATAAAGTATAAAGTATAAAATATAAAATATAAAAGTATAAAATATAAAGTATAAAGTATAAAGTATAAAATATAAAGTATAAAGTATAAAGTATAAAATATAAAGTATAAAGTATAAAATATAAAGTATAAAGTATAAAGTATAAAGTATAAAGTATAAAGTATAAAGTATAAAGTATAAAGTAAATAAAGTATAAAGTATAAAATATAAAGTATAAAGTATAAAATATAAAATATAAAGTATAAAGTATAAAGTATAAAGTATAAAATATAAAGTATAAAGTATTTCTTTACTCAGAAGGCACCAGTTTTGTCTTTTTGTCATTTGTTCTTGTGGAGAAAGTTTCTCTAAAAAGTGAAAAGAAAAATTCACTTTATCGACTGAACAAAAGTTTTTTGGTCTGAGTTTCTCCTCGAGTCGAGTTCAGACTCTGGTCATAGTGACTTGAGTTTTACTGCAGGAGGCGCTCTCCACTCTCACACAACTCAGGTCAGGATCACTCAGGTCCAGAGAGAGGAGCTCAGGTCACAGCTCAGGTCACAGCTCAGGTCACAGGTCATAGCTCAGGTCACAGCTCACAGCTCAGGTCACAGCTCACAGCTCGGGTCACAGCTCAGGTCACAGCTCAGGTCACAGCTCGGGTCACAGCTCGGGTCACAGCTCAGGTCACAGCTCAGGTCACAGGTCACAGCTCAGGTCACAGCTCAGGTCACAGGTCGCAGCTCAGGTCACAGCTCAGGTCACAGGTCACAGCTCAGGTCACAGCTCACAGCTCAGGTCACAGCTCACAGCTCGGGTCACAGCTCAGGTCACAGCTCAGGTCACAGCTCAGGTCACAGCTCGGGTCACAGCTCGGGTCATAGCTCAGGTCACAGCTCAGGTCACAGGTCACAGCTCAGGTCACAGCTCAGGTCACAGGTCGCAGCTCAGGTCACAGCTCAGGTCACAGGTCACAGCTCAGGTCACAGCTCGGGTCACAGCTCGGGTCACAGCTCGGGTCACAGCTCAGGTCACAGCTCAGGTCACAGGTCACAGCTCAGGTCAGAGGAGCCGTCAGAGCCTCTGGATCACTTCTTCTTCTTCTTCTTCTTCTTCTTCTTTTGTTCTGTGGTGTCAGAGTTTTTCATCTGAACTTTTACTCCAGACGTGTTAAACTCATTTTGTTCCGGGCGTCGAGTCCAACAACCGACTTTGATCCAAAGTGTCCGGATCAGAAAACTCATGTCATATAAACCCCAAAATCACAAGAAGTTCAAATATTTGTGCAGAGAAACACAAATCTATTACACAAATCTTTTTTTTTATTGATGAACTCTTTCTTATTATAATATTATAATATATATATTATAATATTATAATATTATAATATTATAATATTAATATATATATTATAATATTATAATATAATATTATAATATTATAATATTATAATATTATGAACAACTGAAAACTTGAAGAAAAATACAATTTCAACACAAAGTTTGAACATGAACTTGTCTGTAAACAGAATAAGTTCATTTTTGTTGTAAAATCCTGCACTCGGCTCCACTTTTCTCATGTTGGACATTTTTCTGATGAGGGTCACGGTCAACAGTCAAAACCATCGTCCTTTAAGAGCGTTTGGAAAGAGACAAGTCTTCATTTGTGCTGCTCTGGTGGGAGGGGCCACGTACAGAGACGCTGGAGACGCTGCTGTGATAAACACCACACAAAATTAACAAGATTTTAATAGAAAATATCATTAAAATATTTGAGTAGAAAATCAGACGAGAAAGAAGAAGAAGAAGTTTAGACTGAACCTGAAGGAACCTGAACCACTGACGGGTTTTTAGGTTTTTAAATCAGTTTCAGTTTGAGTTTTTTGTTTTTTGTTTTTTTGTCGTCTCAGTGTGAATCACAGAAAAACGGACTTGGACTCGACTCGGACCTGAGCCCAAACGCTGAGACTTGGTCCCAGCTCTGACAGAGCAGCCGCCTCTGTGTCTGTCTGCCCCGGGGCGGCTGTGGCAGGAGGATTTAAACTGTGATCTGGTCCTGACCCGGTCTCTCTCTGGTCCTGACCCGGTCTCTCTCTGGTCCTGACCCGGTCTCTCTCTGGTCTTTCTCTGGTCCTGACCCGGTCTCTCTCTGGTCTCGACCCGGTCTCTCTCTGGTCCTGACCCGGTCTCTCTCTGGTCCTGACCCGGTCTCTCTCTGGTCCTGACCCGGTCTCTCTCTGGTCTTTCTCTGGTCCTGACCCGGTCTTTCTCTGGTCCTGACCCGGTCTCTCTCTGGTCTCGACCCGGTCTCTCTCTGGTCCTGACCCGGTCTCTCTCTGGTCCTGACCCGGTCTCTCTGGTCCTGACCCGGTCTCTCTCTGGTCCTGACCCGGTCTCTCTCTGGTCCTGACCCGGTCTCTCTCTGGTCCTGACCCGGTCTCTCTCTGGTCTCGACCCGGTCTCTCTCTGGTCCTGACCCGGTCTCTCTCTGGTCTCGACCCGGTCTCTCTCTGGTCTGACCCGGTCTCTCTCTGGTCTTTCTCTGGTCCTGACCTGGTCTTTCTCTGGTCCTGACCCGGTCTCTCTCTGGTCCTGACCCGGTCTCTCTCTGGTCTCGGTCCAGGTCTGGTTCCAGAACCGTCGGGCGAAGTTCCGCAGAAACGAGCGGGCGATGTTGGCGAGTAAAAACGCGTCGCTGCTCAAGTCGTTTTCCGGAGACGTGACGGTGGAACAGCCCATCGTCCCTCGCCCCGCCCCCCGCCCCAACGACTACCTGAGCTGGGGCGGAGCCTCGTACAGGTGAGAGACAGAACCCGACCAGGACTATAACAGGACTATAACAGGACCCAACCAGAACCAACCAGAACCCAACCAGGACTAAATCTGGTCTAGACTCGATCTGGACTCGGTCTGGACCCGGTCTGGACCCGGTCTGGACCCGGTCTGGACCCGGTCTGGACCGGTCTGGACCCGGTCTGGACTCGGTCTGGACCCGGTCTGGACTCGGTCTGGACCCGGTCTGGACTCGGTCTGGACTCGGTCTGGACCCGGTCTCGTGGTCTCGTGGTCTTGGTCCAAACAGGACGTGTGGTTCAGGCCTCAGACCAAAGTTTTGATCTTTTCATTTCCTGGAATCAAACCTGAACATTCCAGAAGAAAGAAAGAAAGAAAGAAAGAAAAGAGAGAGAAAGAAAAGAGAGAGAAAGAGAGGAGCAGAGGAGAGGAAGAGAGGAAGAAAGAGAGAAGGAGGTGAGGAGACAGTGATGAATGAGTAGGAGAGGAGGAGCGAGTGATGAGAGGAGAGATGAGTGAGGAGGAGAGGAGAGAGGAGAGAGAGAGGAGGGATGAGAGAGGAGAGGAGAGGAGAGAGGAGAGAGAGAGGAGAGAGGGAGGAGAGGAGAGGAGGAGAGGAGAGAGAGAGAGAGAGAGGATGAGAGAGGAGAGAGGAGAGGAGAGGATGAGAGAGGATGAGAGAGGAGGAGGAGAGAGGAGGAGGAGAGAGAGGAGAGAGGATGAGTGAGGAGGAGAGGAGATGTGGAGTGTGTTTCATCTGTTGTTTCTATTTTGATAAAGAGACTAATTTTTGCACTTTTCTTCCTCCTTTCCTTTTTTTTTCTCATATCTCCTCCTCCTCCTCTCTCCTTTCTTGCCCTCCCTATCCCTCTCTCTCTCCACCTCTCCTCTCTCACTCTCTTCACTCTCTCTATCCCTCCATCCTTCTGTTCCTCCCTCCTCTCCTCTCGGTTCTCCTTTTCTTTTCATATCTCCTCCTCCTCCTCTCTCCTCTCCTCCCTCTCTCCTCTCCTCTCTCTCTCTCCTCTCCTCTCTCCTCTCTCTCCTCCTCCTCTCTCCTCTCCTCCTCTCCTCCCTCTCCTCCTCTCCTCCCTCTCCTCCTCTCTCTCTCCTCTCTCCTCCTCTCTCCCTCTCTCTCTCCTCTCCTCCTCTCCTCCTCTCCTCTCCTCCCTCTCTCCTCTCCTCTCCTCTCCTCCCTCTCCTCTCCTCCTCTCCTCTCTCCTCTCTCTCTCTCCTCCCTCCTCTCTCTCTCCTCCCTCCCTCTCCTCTCCTCCTCTCCTCCTCTCCTCTCCTCTCCTCTCCCTCTCCCTCCTCTCCTCCCTCTCTCCTCTCCTCCTCTCCTCCTCTCTCCTCCTCTCCTCCCTCTCCTCTCTCTCTCTCCTCCTCTCCTCTCCTCTCCTCTCCTCTCCTCTCCTCCTCTCCTCTCCTCTCCTCTCCTCCCCTCTCTCTCTCTCTCTCTCTCTCTCCTCTCCTCCCTCTCTCCTCTCCTCTCCTCTCCTCCCTCTCTCCTCTCCTCTCTCTCCTCCTCTCCTCCCTCTCTCCTCTCCTCTTCTCCCTCTCTCCTCTCTCTCCTCTCCTCTCTCTCCTCTCCTCCCTCTCCTCTCCTCTCTCCTCCTCTCTCTCTCCTCTCTCTCTCCTCCTCTCCTCTCCTCCTCTCTCCTCCTCTCTCCCTCTCTCCTCTCCTCCCTCTCTCCTCTCCTCTCTCCTCCTCTCTCCTCTCCTCCTCCTCCTCCTCTCTCTCTCCTCTCCTCTCTCTCCTCTCTCTCCTCTCCTCCCTCTCTCCTCTCTCTCCTCTCCTCCCTCTCCTCTCTCTCCTCTCCTCCTCTCTCCTCTCCTCCTCTCCTCCTCTCCTCCCTCTCTCCTCTCTCCTCCTCTCTCCTCTCTCCTCTCTTCCTCTCCTCCCTCTCCTCTCCTCTCCTCCCTCTCTCTCCTCTCTCCTCTCTCCTCCTCCTCTCCCTCCTCTCTCTCCTCTCCTCCCTCTCCTCCTCTCCTCCTCTCTCCTCCTCTCCTCTCTCTCTCCTCTCCTCCTCCCTCTCTCCTCTCTCTCTCCTCCCTCTCTCCTCCTCTCCCTCTCTCCTCTCCTCCTCTCCTCCTCTCTCTCCCTCCCTCTCTCCTCCTCCTCTCCTCCCTCTCTCCTCCTCTCTCTCCTCCCTCTCTCCTCTCCTCCCTCTCCTCCTCTCTCCCTCTCTCCTCCTCTCCTCCTCTCCTCCCTCTCCTCCCTCTCTCCTCTCTCCTCCCTCTCTCCTCCCTCTCCTCTCCTCTCTCTCTCCTCTCTCTCCTCTCTCCTCCTCTCCTCTCTCCTCTCCTCCTCTCCTCCCTCTCTCCTCTCCTCCGTCTGTTCTTTCGTTCAGTGCGATGGCGTCTTATCCTCCGTCTTGTTCGAACACGACGTCGTCTCAGGGCATGAACATGGCCAACAGCATCGCCAACCTGCGCCTCAAGGCCAAAGAGTACAGCCTCAACCAGGTGCCCACCGTCAACTAACCCCGCCCACCAGTACTACTGCCAGTACTACTGAAGTACTACTGAAGTACTACTGAAGTACTACTGAAGTACTACTGCCAGTACTACAACTACACACACTGCAGTACCCGAAGAAGGACTCCAGCAAAGTCTCTGTTTCTGTGGAGCGTCTGCCACCTTTGGACTAAAACCCTCTGCCGAGACCTGGTCTAAACCTGGTCTAAACCTGGTCTAAACCTGGACTAAACCTGGTCTAAACCTGGTCTAAACCTGGTCTAAACCTAAACCTGGACTAAACCTGGTCTAAACCTGGTCTAAACTGGTCTAAACCTGGACTAAACCTGGTCTAAACCTGGTCTAAACCTGGTCTAAACCTGGACTAAACCTGGTCTAAACCTGGTCTAAACCTGGTCTAAACCTGGACTAAACCTGGTCTAAACCTGGACTAAACCTGGTCTAAACCTGGACTAAACCTGGTCTAAACCTGGACTAAACCTGGACTAAACCTGGTCTACGCCCGGACTACATTTGGATCCTGGATTGAATTTTTTACATGCAAAACTTTTGACTCACTTTGAATTTTTGTGGATTACAGCTTCAGATTAAAAACCTTTGGTGCCTTTGGAGTCCACACCCGGTTTAGACTTGGACAGAACTCAACCCGGTCTCAACCTGGACTAAACCTGGTTTAAACATGGTCTAAACCTGGCCTACGTCTGGACTACTCTGGGTCTAAACCAGGTCTACGTTGGAAGACTCTTGAACTTTTGTGGATTCAAACTTTGTGCTTTTGCACCTCGTTTAGAATAAACCTGGACTAAACCCGGTCTAAACCTGGACTAAACCCGGTCTAAACCTGGACTAAACCCGGTCTAAACCTGGACTAAACCCGGTCTAAACCTGGACTAAACCCGGTCTAAACCTGGACTAAACCCGGTCTAAACCTGGACTGTACTTGGACTAAACCAGAATCGTGGGAGTTTTTCGTATCAGACGCCTCCACTTTTCTGGATGGTGTTTTCCGCCGCAGACAGAGCAGTGCCTCAGTCCAGAAAAACAAACGTCCTTTTTAAACCAAAGACAGAAGCTCATGACCAAAGCTGTTTGTTTTAAAGCTCTACTACGTAACATTTCTGTGGAAAAGCGTTTCCGCATCAGACTGAATCTGTTTAAAGCCACAATGCGAAACATTCCAGCCAAAGCAAAAACATCTCCATGGAGACGAGTAAAACAAATCGACAAATGACCTGGACTCACGCCTCGTCCAATCACAGACCTGGACTCGTGTCTCGTCCAATCACAGACCTGGACTCGTGTCTCGTCCAATCACAGACCTGGACTCACGTCTCGTCCAATCACAGACCTGGACTCACGTCTCGTCCAATCACAGACCTGGACTCACGCCTCGTCCAATCACAGACCTGGACTCGCGTCTCGTCCAATCACAGACCTGGACTCGCGTCTCATCCAATCACAGACCTGGACTCGCGTCTCGTCCAATCACAGACCTGGACTCGCGTCTCGTCCAATCACAGACCTGGACTCACGTCTCGTCCAATCCCGTCCCAGAGTAAACTTTCCTTCTGTTCCTGGACAAAGGTTTTCTGTTTCTTTTGTCGACACTCGAGACGGACGATAATTGTCAAGATGCACCGATACGATACGATACCGATATCAGATATCTGTACCGATATTTAACATCGATGGATCAGATATCGGTTTCAGTCGATCCCATGTTTCGGTCACATTAGACGATTTTCCTGGACGGTGTCGGTCTGTTTTCCGTTTGTTCTTTTGAATTTCAATTAAGAGCGAAAAATTTAAATGTGAAACAGTTTGTTTTTTCATTTTTCCGTTTTAGTGTCAAACAAAAAAAACAGATTTCGACCTCGATTTCCAATATTTGAAAGTTTATTTCAAATCACACCAACCAAAAAACCGTCTTGTGACTATTTCGATTTTGATTATTCGATTATTTGATTCTCTGGTTTAGTGGAAGTTTTTCTGCTGAAGGACGAATCTGAAAAATCGTTGCAGTTTTTACGACAAACTCGTCGACGCGTTTTTATTTTCAATCTCACAAAGTCACGGTTGATCCACGACGAGAAACAGAAACGGGAAGCAGCGAGAAACTCGACTCTGAGTTCACACGCAGCGGAATAAACTTTAAATTAAATAAATATCGGAAATCGAGGTCGAAAAATCTGTTTTTTTGTTTGACACTAAAATGGAAAAATGAAATAAACTGTTTTGACATTTCATCGTTTTTCGTTCTCAATTGAAATTCAGAAGAACGAAGTCGACCCAAAACAGCTCACGACTTTAAACAATAAAAATCAGTTACAAAACGTATTTAGGTCGTTTTTTTACCTTGTGCTGTTTGTGTTTAAAGGAAATCAATAATATCGCTCCGGTATCGGCAGATATCGAGTATCGACAGATACAGAAGAGGCTGGATCAGGTATCGGCGTCGGGCTTCAGTTTCACAGATAAACGGGTTTGTTGAGACACGAGTATTTCCCTTCGTCCATTTTCCAAAATAAAATTGTGCAGCATCATTTTAAAAACTTTTCGTTTACGTGAATCGTCCGTCGAGCTTCGTCAGAACCACATCGAGTCAAACCTGTGACACTGGACAAAAACAACATCTAGAAGAAATGAAAAACATCTGACTTTATGTGAGTCGATTCAACTTGACAAGTCAAACCATCCACCAGTGGAACAAGAATCAGCAACATTCGATTTTGTTTCTTACTTTAAGTGCAGCAGATGTATTTTCATCTTTTAAACATAAAAGTCTTGTTCCTCTGGTGGATCAAGTGAAATTTACTTAAAGGTCGTATGGAGGATTTTTTGTTTTGTTTCAAATTGTCAATGAAAGTTTAAAATCCCATTACAGAGACGCAGCAGCTTTGTAATTATGACGACCAAAAAAAAAAAGAATGAAAATCTATCAACTGTGGACGTGTTGAGGCCAGATAAACATCAGCCAATAGAAAACGAGGCTGCCTCATTTCCTATTAGCTGTTAGGTCGTCAATCAAACTCCCTCCGTTTCTAGTGTAACTGATTCGCCGGCGTGCGGGGATTTCGTGGTTTATGCGACGGTTCTTAGAGGCTTTTTCAAACTGTCGCTTCCTCGCATTTCGCACAAAGTTTGTCGCGACGGCGGAGGAGAATCCAGGAGCAGTTCGCCGCAAAAGAAAGTCCGTTTTTGAGGTCGCTGAAAGAAGAAGAGAAGAGGAAAAGGAGCGAAGCCAGACTGAAGTGATTCTTGGAGATCTCTTCCAGCGATTGCGTGAATGAAGCAGACGAAGGGTCTAAAAACTGATGCGTCGCTCGTTAAATTATTTCTAGACAGGAAACTTCAACGGTGATTCTGAAGGTGCACTGGCTGATTTCTAGAGTAAAGAGGCGGGAGGAGATGTTTCTACTGAGGAGCTGTGGAGGAGGAAGGTGGAGTCACACATGCACAACATTTGAAAAAAGGACTGTCACTGTATTTCTCTTCCCTCAAAAAATCCTCCATACAACCTTTAAATCATGATCAAACTTTCTCAGTTCAAGTCGTCGTTTTGATTTCATTACAGTCGTAAGTTTTACTCACAAATCCATTTAAAATGGTGCATTAGTGAGCGGCTCGCCTCTCCACAGATCTGATACAGCCTCATGTGTCTCTGGTCCTGGACATGAAACATCATCATCAAGAAACAGATGTTGTGTTGTCGACGATTCCCCAGATCCTCAAGGATTTAAAACTGGAACAAAGAGACTGTTTGGTGAGTTTGATCTCGGGGAAAGTCGTTCTTGTTCTTCTTCCTTTTGGGATTTGGAGCTTTACAAACATCACGACCAAACGGCAGCGACTGGTTCAATAAAAAAAGTCCCGTCTCCTGTCGAGTGAACGAATCCTCAAACTCTTTTGTATCTCACTTTACACACAAACGAGTCTTTACAATCTCCACTCAAGTCGGAGTTTTTAGAAAGATTCGTTTTCAGAGTTCGCGTGTAAAAGACGGAACAGACGAAGGGAAAAGTTTCTGTTTTTAAAAATACTCGTGTCGCAGCTCAGATGTTTCGTTCTGGTTTTATCTGGACACTTTAGTCCAAAGAGAAACGATGACCGAACCCTCCAAACTCCACGCTGAGTCTGGACTAAAATTAAACAACACAATTTTTAAAAAATACACAAAATCTGTTTTACATATCGGCCCAAAAATATCGTATCGACCATAAAAAAACAAACAAAAAAACATCGTGGATCTGGAGAACTCGGAACCTTTGTCCAGTCACAGAACGACCTTCCCCGGAGCCTTTGTGCCGGACGCAGCTCTCGTCTTTGCCTCATTTAAACTGCTCCCCTGGTCACAGCAGAAGCACTGCACAAACTGCACAGCGCCCCCTGCTGGAAAATGTTCAGTGTGTTTAAAACGTGCAATACAGAAAGTGAAACAAAGAACCGGAAAGTTCACCTCAACATCTCAAACGGAAACTCCTGTCCATCCTCTCCATGTTTGTTGTTTTTGTTCAAATGGACCAATTTTTGTGCCGAATTTCAGGCTTTTTTTTTTGTTGTTTTTTTTGTTAAAGACTTTTACTTTTCTGAATTTTTATATTTGATGAACGAACAGAACGTTTTATATTTTGTTTCTGAATCACAAACTGAAGAACTTGAGAACTGAGACGATTGTGGATTTCCCTTTGTGCCTTGTGAACCAGGACTAAACCAGGACTAAACCAGGACTAAACCAGGACTAAACCAGGACTAAACCAGAAACTCATTTCATTTTGTAATTTTCAAATGTTTTTTCTTAAACCAGACCTAAAAACTGTGTTGTAATTCACATTGTGTGTTGGGTTCTGTAATTTTTTGCCTAAATTTCAACCGAGACTGAAACACGTCTGAGGAAAACTCAACTCAAATTCTGAATTATTTGTATTTTTTTTTGCAATTTTATATTTTGACGTGACTTAAGAAAAAACACATCTTGAAACCAGTCGCATAATTAACATTTAAATAGTAAAAAAATCTTAGTTTGTGCAAATATTTCACGTCAGGGTTTTGACCTGTTTTGAATCATTTTTGAGTTGGTTTTTATTTTATTTTCTTCTTATTTCACGTCAAAGTTTTTAGTTTTCAGAATTGTTCATGTGCAAAATATGAAATTTGAAAATGTCTGAGAATTT